TCCCAGCCATCTCTGTCTTCTATGCTGGGGTTCCCTGTACCAGTCCTCACAGAGTGTCAGGTGTATACTACATCCTGGCCACCCTCAACCAAATGTCCTCCAGCTTGTGCATTTCTCCACAATAAAGCCCACTAGACTGAAGTCCCTGAGTACATTAGATGTGGTCTGACATGCCAAGAATGAGAATGGGACTAAGTCTTCCTTGGTTCTAGAGCTATGGCTGCACATTGGAACCAAGTTTGAAGCTCTTTACAAATCCGAACTCCTCACTTCTTCCCCTCTCCCCACCCACCCATCCCAGGTCCTGATTCAGAGGGTCTGGGTGCAACAAGGAATGTGCAGTGTTACTAGAGCTTCTCAGGCAATTCTGATTGACATCAAGATGGAGAATCACTGGGCTCAGTACTCGACTTTAATTCAGCAGCCTAAGAGTCTGTCCGCTTTTTTGGCAGCCTTTTCGTTTGACTCATATGGAGCTGGCTGTCAGCAAAAACCCTCAGTTTTATTCACACATGCTTCTGCTAAGCCGCTACTTCCCTACTCTGTCCTTGTACAGTCGGTGACTTGGAGCCAAGCCCGGATCTCAGTGAAGCCCTGTTCATTTTACCTTGTGAGGTTCAGGCTGTTGTGTTAGCAGGTTACCATGTTTTGGGAACCTGTATTTCACAATATGTTCCCTGTCCTCACTGGATTCACGAAGTTGAGGGGCTTGTTCACTGTGTCTTTGCCCAGGTCCTGGTAAAAAGGTGGACCAGGATAGCAAGAAGGATGGAAGCAATCAATCAGTTCTGAGGGCATTCCTCATGTGCAATGCTCCATGCCCGCCTGGAGAAGGACATCCCCTAACTTATTTCCATCACACTTATGAAAACAGGTCCGTTTCATAGACAGAAAAATGGAAGGAGTAATGTACCCAAGGACATCCTGTAGGGGAAGGAGCCAATCCTTTTCCTGCCATCTTCAACGCTCATCTTTAAGTTTGTAGCCTTTCAGAGGAAAGTGACAAGTTTGGCCTTTCTGATTGGAAAGAGATTTTTAGAGCCAGAAGGAATCTTGGAAATGATCAAAAGCTTAACAGATCAGAGAGCTCAGGTAACTTGCCAAGATCTCATAGGAAACCTTTGCTCCGGTTGAGACTAAAATCTGGGAGGGTATAGCTCAAGTGGTAGAGCACATGCTTTATATGCACGAGGTCCTAGGTTCAATTCCCAGTACCTCCATTAAAAATATAATTAAATAAATAAACCTAATTACCTCTCCCACCAAAAAAAATTCTGGGGGAAGGATATAGCTCAAGTGGTAGAGTGCGTGCTCAGTATACAAGAGGTCAGGGGTTCAATCCCCAGTACCTCCTCAAGCAGAAGTCAATGAAGAAACTTAATTACCTCCCCCTCATAAAACAAACAATACAAGTGAAAATCTGGGCCTCTTGAGAAGGCATCCAGTGTTCTCGCAGCTTCGCCTCCAGGTAAGTTTGATACAAAATGACACTTCAAAGGGAAACACACATGGGACTGATTCTTTTCTGTTTCTAAGTCCCAGATGGTTCCTTCTATGATTCTAGGAGGGGCTGGCATGGGAGAACAGGCAACGGATTTCCTCCTGGGCTTCTGCAGAGAACTCCTGATTGCCTGTCCTTCCAACCTAAGGAGTTAGAACCTCAGCACCTGCCACCCAGCCTTGTCCCTGCCTCCATTCACACTTAGCTCTCAGTGTGCAGAGGGTGGCTGGATCCAGAGCCACAGCTAGACATACAGCCAGACTCATGGACAGCTCCTGGTCCTCACTCTCACACCCGCCTCATAAGGTGCGGGGGCTGTAATGGTGTGAAGGTGGTGGGAGGTGTTTGTCCATGATGTGAGCCCTTGTGCTCATGACTTCATGAGTTCAGCCTGCTTCAAGTCTACAACCAGGAGCACCCCTAACTCAGCCTCCCTTGGGAAGGTGGGTCCAGCCCCTGATCCACACAAACTGCTGAAAAAAAATCCAAAGAGCAAGTCAGTGAAGATTCTTGTGGAAAAAATTGCAATATATACTGAGGAAGAAGTAATAAGAAACTGCATTTCTCCTGTCAGTGTCTGCTAACAAGTAATAATGGTAATAACAACAACAATAAGAACACTATTGAGCTCACATGCAAGCACTGTATTAAGTACTGTATATATATATTATATATATATATTTTTTTTACTTAAGTGTAGTCAGTTTACAATGTGTCTATTTCTGGTGTACAGCATAATGCTTCAGTCATACATGAACATATATTCATTTTCATATTCTTTTTCACCATAAGTTACTATAATGTATTAAGTACTTTACCTCCATTGTATTATTTCTTATAATGTCCTATGAGGCATAATTATCCCCATTTTATAGGTGAGAAAGTTGAGGCACAGGAAAGTTAAGCATCACCAGATAAACCAGCTAGTAAGCATCTGGGCTTATAGAGCAGTGAGCCCAGTCTGGCTCCCTGTGCCAGACTAGGAAACAGAACCTTGAGGATGCAACATATGAGCCTTCTTCATTCTAAAAGTAAACTAGCCATTGGCTGAAGATGCACAACAGGCCTCCAGACTCCTGAACCCCACTGCTTCATCAGGCACGTCTTGGCATCAGGTAAGAAACCTACCTAATATGACTCTTGCTTGGCTGGTAACTGAGTCCCCTGAAGATCTGAGTTCACCTTCCACCACTAAACTTCTCTGACGAACAGTCTGAGAAACCAAAAAGCATGAGGTCCCCACACAAAGCTGCCAAGTGAGCAAGTGATTTCGAGACCTGCCTCTGGGGCTCCAGCACCGCGTTGCGTGTAATTCTCACTGCCTTCTGTGACCCAAAGCTCGTACATGCCAAACTCTCCAGCATCCTCATCTCCACAGTTCACAATTGAAAGACCCACTGTGGCTTCCCTGAGGATCTGCTTTCCCAGGATTCCCTGCCTTTCCCCGGATTCCCAGCCTTTCCCCAGGAGGCATGTGCTTTCCAGTGCGCCCAGCAGGGGGCATCCTCACCCTTCCACCCTCTTCCCCCGGGAGGTGGGGGGAGGTGAGATTGGCGGACTGTCTGAAGTGCCCGCTACTCAGCTCAGCCCAGGAGGCAATTTCCCAGACTGGGTGTTGTGTGACACTCCTGATTTTCCCTATATTCACTCTACCATTATTTACACAGTATTTTTGTCAGTTCACATTTTTAAAAACCTAACTGTATTTTTAAAGGGAAAAAAGCCCTCTTTGATGAAGGTTTTCCTGGCTTCCCCCACTGCATGGATGTTCTGCATTCTAAGGGCTGCTTTGCAGGATGTGGGCAGGAGAGGACAGGCCCCACTGAAGCTGCAGTTTGGGGGTCTCAAGAACTGGATTCAGGCAGTGCCATCTCTGGTTTAGTAAAGATGGGTGAGGTTTTTAGTCTGTGGATTCAGAGCCTCAACCTTCAGAGATTAAAAAGTCAAGAGTGAAGAGTCCTGAAACCCCTGCCTCCCTGTGGTGCCTTCAGTCCCGTGGAATGGGAGAGCCTGTACCTTCCTCTCCCCATGCTGCAGGAGAGGGAGGGGACTGTCTTTCCAGACCCAAAGTAGAGACAATGCTGCAGGGCAGACAAGAAGGAGCGACTTGGGTGCAGGAGCAGGGGCAGCTGCAGGTGACAGGTGCAGGGGCTTTGGAAAGGGGCAGGGATTTCCCTTGCAAAATCCATTCAAACAGACAGAGAGGGAACCTGATCCCAGGGAGGGAGTTGGAACAGCAGGAGACACCAGAGGGGCCCCCAGAGGGGCCCAAGGCTGGAGAGCTAGGGGAGGAGAGATGAGAGACAGCAGGACTTAGAGAAGGGGGAGAGGATGAGTCCTGAGGGCAGAGAATTGGAAGCATGGAAGATTCCCAAACTCTTTCCAGGGGCTCAGTCAGGCCTTACTTCAGGCTCCAGCCCCGTGGTCTTAGACTTGTCTTTCTGCGTGTTATTTTTGCGCTAGGAATCCCTCAGCTCCAGCTTCCAGTGGCCCCATCCTCCTGCCCTGGCTGGAACTGGCCAGTAGAGGCAGTTCTAGGGCCTGGGTGAGGGTCCCGTAGTTGTGTGGGGGCGGGAACAAAGGCACATGGTGGGACCTGGGGCAGAAAGCCAGGCCCTGAGAGGGGAAGGAAGTCCTGGGTAGAGCTCCCAGCTCCCCCAGCTGGGTTAAGAAGGGTGATAAGAGCAGGTTAGGCAAGAGGAAGTGGGCTGATCTGAGCCGGGCTGTGACTGAGTCCCTGGGCCTGGCCTGGGACAGAGCAGCATTAGGGCCCTGCACCCTGGGCAACACCCTGAGCTGAGGCCTCTCTGAGCCAGCGAGCAAGCGGGTAGTCCTCCGGTCCCCAAGTGTTCTTCCCCAGGCCACAGCGCAGGGCAGAGGGGGGAGCCTGGCAGGAGAGCGCAGTGGAGGCTGGTGGCCAAAGTTGCTCAAAGCACTTGCTGCTAAAGCGATTGTCTGTAGAGTGGGGTTGTATGTAGAGTGGCGGCTGGCCAGTGAGCTTCAGGTCTCGGCCAGGTGCAGAGGGGGGAGTCACTTGTGGTGGGTGAGGGGTGGGATTGCCTCACTTGCGCCTCATTTTCATGGGGAGGAAGCGCTGAGAAAGAGGAGTCTAGTGTTCAGTGAAATTTGCTTATTCAAAACAATCCCAGCTGGAATCCGCCCCACCCTCAGCTCCCACCTCCAGGGTGGTCCCAGCCTCCTCTGTCTCTGGGAGAGACCCCTGTGCTCTGGGCCCCACTGCTGTGGGGGTCACTTCCCCTGGTGAACTCCTTGCTCTCTCCTCTAAGTGTCCATTTGGGCAAGAGTAACCCCAGCTGGTCCCCACCCACCGCTGCATCTGACTACCCCGGGGACTGAGAGGCTCCCGCTCCAAGGCAACCAGGCCTCATGACCTGCCTCTCAGTCCTGAACAGAGAAGGAAGCCCTGAGCAGGAAGTGCTGAGAAACAGGGTGGGGGAGGGGGATTTGAGGAGGGGAGCCCGGCCTCCCTGGGCAGGAGCAGCAACCACAGACCCCTACTGCAGGCGGGTGGGAGGAGGTTGATTTAAAAGACAGATGGGCCTCTGGCCAAAGCACTCAGCTCTGCGCCCAGCCACTGCGCCCTAGGGGCTATAAGAGCACCCAGACTTCCGGACCAGCTCCGGGGCGGGTGCCATGTGAGCCCTGACAGGCTCTTCTCCTGCCTGCCTTCCTTCCGCCCCTCCTCCTGCCCGCGGTGCTGTGCCTGCCCAGCCTCTCCAAAGAGGGACACTTGGCACCATGTCTCTGCTCAACCCTGTCCTGCTGCCCCCAAAGGTGAAGGCTTATCTGAGCCAAGGGGAGCGCTTCATCAAATGGGACGATGTGAGTGGGGCCGGGCCGAGGGCTGCTGGGGTGCTGGGGTGGCGGGAGGGCTGCTAGGGGCTTTGCCAGGGGTCTAGGTTGGTTTAAGTCTGCCAGGATTCAGGTGCCTGTGTGGCTTGGCCAGGCAGCTGACACAACTGCCCAGATAAACAAATCTAGGGGTGAGGGTGCGTGCCCTGAGCCCATGTCCTTGGGCTGCCAGGGCTATGGCTCTGTATCTGGATGTGGGAACAGGGTGCCTGTCTGGGTGGTCATGGGAGGAAGTTTCTTTGGGTCTGGGTCTGTCCTTCGCCAAAGCTCCCAAGAAGAGCAGAGTTTCTTGCTCCTGGTCTCAGCAGAGGTGGGAGGAAAGTGGCCCCAGAGCTGAAGCAGGGCCAGAAGCAGAGGTGAGCCAGGTGCCTGCTCCCAGCACAGACAGCCCACTCTTGCCCTAGCGAGATGCCCGAACTGGAATCTTCACCGCTTCCCACTTGGCCCTGGCCCTGTCCCAGGGAAGCTCGACTCTCCCCCAGCTGCTGTGGGGCAGCCACAGAAGGCCCCTGGACCCCAAGTGAGAACTGGAGGCTCTGCTCCCAGGGACTGGGAGGGAATGGATAGACTTCTGCTTCAGCCCTCTGCTCTCAGCCTGGCTCCCTGATGCCGGCCTGTATGCAAGGAAGGGAGAAGCCATGCTTTGCCCTGCACTTCCATCTCTACTGTGTCTGCTCCTTCCCAAACAGGGGCCTGCTTCCCAGCCTCTAGTCCTCCCAGACCCTGAAAATGTGTGTGTTGCCACAGGCCAGGGATTCTTCTGGACCAATGAGAACAATATAGGGCCCCTCCTTCAGGGAGGGGAGGCTGCTGGGCTGGCCCAGTGTGAGAGTCAGAGCCGGCTGGTCCCAGGAAGGGAACCTGAAGGCCCTGATAGGGGAAGAAGGGCCCTTAGGGCTGATTCATCCTCCTTACCAGGGGGAAGACAGGGCTCTGGGTCTGTTAGTTAAGGCTCTCAGTCCTTCTGGGTTCAGCTAGGCTGAGAAATTTGGAATTTGGTTGCCATGACTATGGGGAGGGGGCCCCGTGGTGAGATGCTTTCTGCTTCCTCCAGAGTGGTGTGGTCACTGTGGCATGGTGGAGCTATGTCCCAGGAGCCTGTAGAATGAGGGAAGTGGCTCAGAATGAAACGTGAAGTGGCCTCTCTCGGTTCCTCTGGGAAATGTGTGTGACCTGATGGAGCAGAGTGTCATTAGGGATGGGGACGTTCAAAGTAGCCTTCTCTGCAAGCCAGCATCTGTGTACCTGGCTGGCCCACTGCCCTTCCCAAGGCAGGGCACTGCAGGGTCCTGGATCCTACCTCCCACGAGCAGGAATTGTCCAGTCAGGGGTCACGTGTAACTGCCTGACAAGGCTCTGCTCTCAGACTGCCTTCAGCCTAGTTGGTAGATGACCTAGGTACTGGATAAGCACAATGCACAGGAAGTAATCAACTCCCTACTTAATTTTGTGTCCCACAGCCCCTTTACAATGTATTCTGTGGAAGAAGCTCTCCTACAACCCATGAGGAAACAGCCAGTCTCAAGACATTCTGTTTGCTCTTGGCAAACAGACAAGTCTAGGGACATCTTTCCTCAAAAAGCCCAGTCTTACTTCAGAAACTAGTTATAACTCAAAACTCCAACCTTAATTTAGAATGACATCTGCCCCACCTCCATCTAAGAATGTTTTCAGGTGGAAACCTCTGGAAAGGCCTGTGGGAGGACTCTCTGCTCCTCTTCTACTGCTTGGGATGGGGTGCAGGGAGGGAGAAGGGAATGGGGTACCAAAGTTTTTAATTGAGCAGGTGCTATCATAAGCTGGGCCTGGCAAAAGGGCAAGGCTTACGCTTTCTCTCAGGAATATTTTTGAGGACTCTTAGGAGACCCTCCCGCTGAGCGCGGGATCTCTTGCTTAGGGTCGTTCTGCCACCTTGATCTCAGGAGGTCACGCGCAATTACTTCTTCAGCCCCTCAGAATCCAGTTACTGCCTTCCGCTCCCTGCAGCTTTGGACTGTTTGTCTGTCTCTCCCACAGGCCCCCTCTGGACCCAACAAATACTCATGGGTTCATTGCCCCAGAGACTCTGAGGCTTCCAGCTCACCTAACACGCCAGTGTCTCTCGGTCTCTGACAGTCAGCCCACCTGTCACCCACCTGATCTCCTGGGCGGGAGTCAGACCCCAGTCTGTTATGCCCTACAACTGTAGGAGTGACAAAAGCTCTCCAAGTGCAGGCTTAACATGAGGGGTCAGGCACCCCAACCCTCCCTGGTGGAGGGAAGAGAATGGAGCTTACAATACAGCTTTCTCCAAAATTAGCTTCCTCACACAGTGTTCTCTTTCCCGTATACTCTAGCCACCCCTGATCTGAGAACCTTTTTCTGGACCATTTCCTTTGTGAATTCTGCATTTGGTCTGGTATGGTGTGCATTAATTACCATGCCTTGTTGGAAACTTCAATTTTAATGTCTTGTTATTCATGCACACAAAGACCATTAAAAAAAAAGGGAGCCTGTGTGCTCTGTGAGTGGAGCAGGAATTCAGAAGTGAGTTCATTCTTCATTCACTCACTCCTTTAGCAAACCTGGGGTGCGGAGCTCATGGTCTAGGACAGGATTTTTTTCCCCAGGGGAAGCGGGAGACCCTGGGGATTTCCCGGATGGGCTCCTAGGTCTGAGAACTCACCCCTACCCCGCTGTTGCAGCATCTTTCTGGAAAGGCTTTTCAGAAGCTATCCTTTGACGGTATTTCAGGCAGGAGTGACTGGATGCTTAGGCCTAGAGGCACTGGTTGTCTATGGGACAGTTGGATGGGTAGGGTGGGGGGATTCATGGAGGGGAGGACTGGGTGAGTGGGAAGTGAGGCTCTGCTGCGGGAGTTGGACTCTTGGTGCTCACCATGTTGAGCTCTCCCGGGGGTAGCACGGAGTCTTGGGGAGGGAACTTCTACCACTTTGGCTGAGCTGTGGGCCTTGAAAACAGGCAGGGTGAGGGCCAAGACCCTTCTTGAGGCCTAGAGGACGAAACTATTTGAGATTTAGAGGGGAACCCTCCTCTCTTCCAGAAGGGTCATCTCCAATCCACTACCCCTCCCCACCCCTGCTTCAGAGTTTTTAAGGCTCATGCTCAGCCCTTAGCTCTGGAGAACAAAGGGAAATGCCTGCAGATTCCTGGGACAGCCACCTCCTGGACAGATGGTGAGCTCTGAAACTCCTGGCCTGGGCCAGGAAAGATTGGCCTGAAGTCTCAGATCAGGGAGTTGACTCCTTCTCTCTGCAGGAAACGACAATAGCCTCCCCAGTTATTCTCCGTGTGGACCCCAAGGGCTACTACTTATACTGGACATATCAGAGTAAGGTGAGGCGGCTTCTGCCTACCATGGCCCTACCATGGGTCCTGCTGATCCATTGAGTCCAAGCAGCCCCTTGATGCTGGGGTGGAGATGTGGATGCCAGGAGTGTAGAATGACCTGTGAGGGTGGCTCTGGGGGAATCAGCTGTGGGCAGGGGCTATTTGCTTTGGGAGGGAGGATGCAGTCACTCCAACTGTGCCTGCCTTGGGCCCAGATGCTCCAGCCTTTGCATCCCTTGGAGAGACAGAGAGAGGGAGAGGGAGAGGGAGAAAGGAATAAGAGCTGCTGTTGAAGGCTGAATACCTGCCTGTGGTTCTGGGTAAACTTGAGGCTAAGAGAAGGGCCTCAGCACCTGGGCAGAAGGAAGGGAGGGGGACCCTGGGGAGAGTCCAGGATGGTGCAGGGGAGGCTGGAGGTCACAGTTCCTGAGTAACTCGAGTGGCTAGAGGAGGAGTGGACAGAGAGGAAGGCAGGAGGGTCACTATGAGTAGGGAGAACCCAATCTCTGGGAGTGAAGGTTAGGGTCTGGGAGGCCCCACACAGCCTTGGCATATAGAGAGGGCAGTTGGCCAAGATGTGAAGGTGTGTGAAGCTCCCTCCCCACCACTCTTTGTTCTTGGCTTGACGTTTTTGTCCACATCCCTCCTTTGCCTCTCCCAGGAGATGGAGTTTCTGGATATCACCAGCATCCGGGACACCCGCTTTGGGAGGTTTGCCAAGCTGCCCAAGGTAAGTGGGCCCAGTAGCAGCCCAGGCTCAGCACAACCACCAGCTCCATGGGGCTGGGGCAGGAGTCCCGTGGGGGCGGGGAGCCTGATCTCTGGAGCGAGGGGAAGGGTTCCTGCACTGAGCAGAGGGTCTCCCCCTGAGCCAAGGAAGGGGCATGGCTGCTCTCTGGCTTGCCAGGGCTTGGCTATCAGGACACAGTGAATGGAAATGTTGTGTGGCCAATGCCTGCCCCCCGCACACCCCAGGCTGTCTGGGAGGAGTTGCTTGCAACTCCCCTCCTCCGCCCCGACTGGTTTGCCTGTGTTTGCCTAATGCTGGTAGGAAAATGGGAGGAAGGGATTGATGGGACGCAGGATTCCCTGAGACTGGAAACTAAGAATTCATCTCCAAATGAAAAATGGCAAACCAAATACGCAGAACTCCCAGCCCCCACAGCCTTGGTTAATCCCTTTCTGTGGGCCTCTGCCTCCCCACCTTCGCACCTGGAGTCAGAGCAGGAAGATGCTGAGGCCTGTGGCTCCTAAGATGGGCATGGACAGGGCTCCACCCCAGGCAGCCATGTTTCAAGTGTCTGATGGGAAAAGACTGGGAGAGCCACAATAGACGGGGGACAGGGGCGCCCCTCTGATCCTAACCACATCACCACTTGCTGCAGAGCCAGAAGCTCCGGGATGTCTTCAACATGGACTTTCCTGACAACAACTTCCTGCTGAAGACACTCACTGTGGTGTCCGGCCCTGACATGGTGGACCTAACCTTCCATAACTTCGTCTCCTACAAGGAGAACGTGGGCAAGGTGCAGCGGGGGCACCTGGCCAGGGGCTGGCACCTGGGATAGCCCTGACTTGCCAAGAGACAGGCCTGGGCCACGGAGGGGGGGGGCACTTTTGTGGTCAGGGGTCTGACTGCTGTGCCCTCGGGTCCTGCAGAACTGGGCAGAAGATGTACTGGCCCTGGTCAAGCACCCGCTGACGGCCAACGCCTCCCGCCTCACCTTTCTGGACAAGATGTAAGTGCCGGCCTGCCTGGACTTAGTGAGTGGGGCTAAGTCCCCCAGGCCTGGGCCTTGACACGCTGCTCTCTGCCCACCAGCCTGGTGAAGCTCAAGATGCAACTCAACCCCGAGGGGAAGATTCCCGTGAAGAAGTGAGTCTCCCCTACATTCCTCACACGTCCTCCAAGCTCCCCAAAGCCCTCCCTCCGCAGGCCTGACTCCTTTCTTTGCCTGGTACCTTTCTCTGCTTCTACAGTTTTTTCCAGATGTTTCCTGCTGACCGCAAGCGGGTAGAAGCTGCTCTCAGCACCTGCCACCTCCCAAAAGGCAAGGTGAGTCATCTCTGCCTCCCCGCCCACCCTCAGAATTCCCCTTCTCACCTGAGCTGTCTCTGACTAGAGGGCACCTTGGGCTGACCTGGGGGTGGGGTGGGGAGGCAGGAATGACAGCACAGTCCCAGCCAGCAGCCTGAGAAGCCAGGTAGCCCTAGAAGTACTGGTTCCTGATACCAGGCGCAGAGACAGAGCCAGGTCAGGGGAGATGAGGTGCCCAGGTTCAGAGCAGGTTGGTCTGCACCCCTTCAGCTCAACATAGGAAAACATCTTTTTCCACTTCTTTTTACTTAAGTAATTTTTAATTATGATTGTATGCAGGGTCACCCCTTGAGGCGTCTTATGTGAATTAAAGAAGGACAGATGCAGCCCTGAGCCAGGGTTTGTGCCTGGCCAGGGGTAGATCTCGGCCCCCGATCCTCCTTTGGCCAGTGCCTTTGTGTAGAGCACCACCTGGACCCCATGAGGTCTTTTCTCCTGTTAAGAATTTAGAACATTATAAATAAATAAAACTAAGACCTCATTGATCACCCATCCACATGGATCCCAGGAGGAATACTTTTCCACAGTCACAGCTCTCTGGAGCTGGTGACCCCTTGAGCAATGAGTCACAGGGGATGCAAGCATGGGGTTGGGGAGAGGGTGGGAATGGGCTCCTGCTGAGGGCACCACTTGCAGCTGTCAGTACACATCCACCCTCCTTTTCTCCTACCTCTGGAGCTTCCACCTTGGCTAAGTCTCCCTTATTTATCAGCTCTCCTGTGTCCTAGTAGGGGCCACTGAGCCATCTTTGTTTGGAGCTGATGGGTCCAAGATCTGGTCTCAGGGAGATCCAGTCTAGCTCTCCTTCTCAGAGCCTCTGCTTCCAACTAAGACTGATGTTGATCCTGGAAAACACTTGATGGGTTTTTCTGGAATGTAATGCAAAGGCCACCAATCCCTGAATGCCACCAATCTACTTGCTGTTTCTATCTCTATTGATTTGCCTATTTGGGACATTTCATGTAAATGAAATCATACAATACGTGATCTTTGATGTCAGGCTTCATTTATTTAGTATAATGTTTTCAAGGCTCATCCACGTTGTAGCATGGATGTATCAGTACTTCATTCCTTTTTACTGTGGAATATTTCACTGTGTGGATGTACTGCATCTTGTTTACCTATTCATGAAGTTGAAGGACATTTGGGTTGTTTCCACTTTGTGGCTATTATGAATAATGCTGCTATGAACGATTTTGTCTGGATGTATGTTTTCAAGTCTCTTGGGTGCATACCTAAGGGTGGAATTGTTGGGTCATATGGTCATTCTATATTACACATTTTGAGGAAATGCCAAACTGTTTTCCAAAATGACTACACCATTTTACAACCGCACCAGCATTGTATGGGGTTCCAATTACTCCACATCCTCACCAACACTTGTTATTGTCTTTTTGTTTCTTTTTTTAACTTTCGTCAACTTGTGGGAATGAAGTGGTATCTCATTGTGGTTTTTGATTTGCATTTCCCCGATGACTAAAGATGCTGAGCCTCTCTTCATGTGCTTATTGCTCATTAGCATATCTTCTTTGGAGAAATGTCTATTCTAATCCATTGCCCATCTTCCAACTGGGCTGTCTTACACTGCGGACTTGGCCCCCGGGACATCGGATTTGCAGACATTTTCTCCTATTTTGTGAGTTGTCTTTTCACTTTCTTGATGATGTCCTTCAGAGCACCAAAGTTTTTTATTAGGATGAAATCTAATCAGTCTTTTTTGTTATTATTCCTTGTGCTTTTCAGTGTTTCCAACTATTGTTGAATTGTCTATTTCTCCCTTCAATTCTGCCAGTTTTGCTTCACGCATCTTGGGGTTCTGTGGTTAGGTATTCAACAGCGCCACTTGCTTCTGACCACTTTTCCTCCCCATTCTGGTCAATCTTAGTTCCAATCCCGTCCCAGTCAAGACACTAGCCTGTGTCAATTCAGAGGCAAAGCAGACCAGCTAAGATGCTCTCTGCTAGGCAACCAGGGCCTTGAAAAGTAGGTGCTCAGGGTGTCTTTGATGTTCCTTTGTCTGCCCTGAGCCCTCCCTCTGACCAGGCCCCCTCGAGCAGGTCTGGGCCTCGTTTGGTGGTTCTTAGTGCTGAGAAGATGGGGGCAGGAGTCATCAGGTGACTCTTATCCCCCCAGAATGATGCCATCAATCCTGAGGACTTCCCAGAATCTGTCTACAAGAGTTTTCTCATGAGCCTCTGTCCTCGGCCAGAAATAGATGAGATCTTCACTTCCTAGTGAGCTTCATGGGGCTGGGCGTGGGCAAGGGGTGGGGGCTAAAATTCCCACCTGCCATGCTGACAGTGAGGTGGCTTTGCTGGAGAAGGGGGCTGTCTAAGCGCCCCCTGACCCCGGGGACATAGAGGGGACCTGTGCTCCTCTCTGGCCTGCAGCCATGCCAAGGCCAAACCCTACATGACCAAGGAGCACCTGACCAAATTCATCAACCAGAAACAGCGCGACTCCCGGCTCAACTCCTTGCTGTTCCCGCCGGCACGGCCTGACCAGGTGCAGGGCCTCATCGACAAGTACGAGCCCAGCGGCATTAACATACAGAGGGGTGAGGACCAAGGCCACCTCTGACCCTCCACGGTCCTCTCCTGTCCCGGCGGCCGGGCTGTCGCCCTGACAACCATCCCCTGTCCCCCAGGCCAGCTGTCACCCGAGGGCATGGTGTGGTTTCTCTGCGGGCCAGAGAACAGCGTGCTGGCCCAGGACAAGCTGCTGCTGCACCACGACATGACGCAGCCACTCAACCATTACTTCATCAACTCCTCACACAACACCTACCTGACAGGTGGGTCTGGTGACCTCACTGCAGACCTCTCCTTTTATGGGGGCTCTTCCCATGCCCTGAATCCTCTGCGAGGGCTGCCCACGGGCTGCCCACAGGACAGCCCATGATGGAGTCGGGTAGGGGAGAGCTGGGCTGCCCTTGAGTGAAGCCCCTGCCCCTCCCCTCCCCTCGGGTTCAGGTGGCCAGTTCTCAGGCCTCTCCTCTGCTGAGATGTACCGCCAGGTGCTGCTGGCCGGCTGCCGCTGTGTGGAGCTGGACTGCTGGAAGGGGAAGCCTACCGACGAGGAGCCCATCATCACCCATGGCTTCACCATGACCACAGACATCTATTTCAAGGTGAGACTCGGTGTGTGGAGGCTGGTGGCAGTGGCACTAGGGAAGGGCAGGGGCCACAAGCTTTCTGGGGATAGGGGGAGTGAAGCCAGAGAGGAGGGATGGCTGGGAGGCCTTGGACCAGTGTGGGGGACTCAAGGGGACCAGAGGAGATAGGAGGCCGACAGTGGCCATTCAGTTCTATGAGTGTGCTGTAACTGGGGAGTGGGGAAGGTGCCACTGGGGGAGGGGAAGCCTGGAGCACTGATCTTCTCTCCATGGGGTCCCCTTCTCCTCCAGGAAGCAATTGAAGCTATTGCGGAAAGTGCCTTTAAGACCTCCCCTTATCCAGTCATCCTGTCATTTGAAAACCACGTGGATTCGTGCGTATCCAGGCCGTCCAGCCTCATTCTCTACCCTGTCCCCATCTCCTGCCTACAGCTGCCCTCCCTGCAACTGTCTCCAGCCTCAAACCATGATTTCCAGCTCTCTCTGAGGGCTCAACAAAATTTCCTTGGGACTCTAGGCTCTCCTGCCTGTGTCCCTGACTCTCCAACATCCTGAGCCCCTAATCTGTGTCAAAAAAAAAAATAGACAAGAGGGTCAGGCAGAGCTGCTGAACCCCACCTTGCTTCTGCTCCCTGCAGACCCCGCCAACAGGCTAAGATGGCTGAGTATTGCCGGACGATATTTGGGGATATGCTGCTCACAGAGCCCCTGGAAAAGTTCCCAGTGAGTGGACTTCACTGGGGTGGCATCTGGGCCTTGGGGCTGGGGACCCAGGGCAGGGTGCCAAGTTAAGGAGGCAGATGTCCCAGGAGGATGCTAAGATTCATTTGGGAGGATTCTGGGCCTGGGATCCTATCATTGACCACATGTCAGGCACTATGCTGGGCTTGGGGGATATGTTAGTGACAAAGGGGCCGTCCCAGCCCTCAGATTGCTAACCCTCTAGTGGGGAGGCAGACAAGTAACCAGGCCATGACAACCAGTGGCTACTATGGGAGTATGTGGGGAGTCCTGATTCAGTCTTTGGAATCCGGCAAGGCTTCCTGGAGGAAGTGATGGATACGCTGAAACCTGAGGGAGATAATGGATTGATCTTGGTGAGAATGGGGAAAGGGTGTTCTAGGCAGATGGACTAGGTGAGAAAAAACATCACTGGGGAGCTAAGTTGGATCAGGCAGGGGTTTAGGGCACAAGGTGGGAGTGATGAGAGGTGAGGCTCTAAAAGAAGGCAGCAGACAGATGGAGTGCAGCTTGGCATGAAGGAGCTTAGGCTGCACCCCAAAAGTGAGGAGATGGTGCTAAGGACCCTCTCTTCTCTCCCACAGCTGAACCCAGGCGTCCCCCTGCCCAGCCCTGAGGATCTCCGAGGCAAGATCCTCATCAAGAACAAGAAGAACCAGTTTTCTAGCCCAGCAGCTCCCAGCAAAGAGCCGGATGGAGATGCTGAAGGGAGTGGCCCACCCAGTGCCCCTGTGGGTGAGGACACAGGTGAGTGGGCCTCGGAGGAGAGGGGGTGGGGGAGCATCTGGAATGGGAGAGAGGGGCTGGGCCTGGAGGGGAGAGCCAGCCTGGTGTGTGGTATCCCTCTGCCCCCAGTGCTGAGGGAGGCAGTGTGGACTGGTGAGGAAGGGGCTGAGTTGGAGGACGAGGAGGTGGAAGAGGAAGAGGAGGAGGAGTCGGGAAACCTGGATGAAGAGGAGATGAAGAAGATGCAGTCAGATGAGGTGTGTGTCTACTGCAGAGCCCTCTGGGTGGGGGCATGGGGCCATGTCCCTTGGCTCTATACTGTCCTCTTCTCCACCCTCCTCCCTCCTCCCTAGGGCACAGCGGGCCTGGAGGTGACAGCTTACAAGGAGATGTCCAGCTTAGTCAATTACATCCAGCCTACCAAGTTCATCTCTTTCGAGTTCTCTGCCCGTAAGTTAGCATGGAGTGGTGGTAAGCTGGAGGGTAGGCTAGGTTCAGGAGAAGGCCCTTAGGAAGTATGTCCTGACACCTGATGAGTAGGGGTGAGAGCAAGGGGGGATCCTCCCCTTCCTTGGGCTGGGGGCCCTGTCTATATATACCCAGAAGAGGAGCCAGGCAAAGGGCTTGTTTAAGTGGCAGTGGCTTCCAGTGTCTTGTCTCTGTACCGAGAACTTGGCACCAAGCAGAATGCTCTGGAGTGTGTCGGTGACAGGCAGGTCATTTACGAAAGACCTCCTCAGCCAGGCAGCCTCGGGCTCCTGCAGCCTCTTGCAGGTTCTGTGGCCGCCGGGACATGAGAGCTCCTGCGAGGGGGTGGAAGGTGAAGAAACTAGCCAGTGCACATCTGCCTCCTGTCCCCTTCTGTTTCTGAGTGCACCCCCACTGTTTACCTTTATCTTCTCTGGACATGCGCACAGTGAGTTCCTCTCACCCCATGTGCATGTCCCCAACATGAACACCTCTTTCTGTATACACTCTGCAACACTGAACCCCTAGCCTGCACTCCCTCCTGTTTCCACCCATGGCATGCACCACCCTTGCTGTGTGCCTCTCACCCGTGCCCCTGCTCCTTGCACATCACAGCATGCCGGGCTCATCCCCACATGTTCCCCCAACCCTCTGTGCGCACCCAGGGCATGCACCCCTGCTCCAGGATCGAGGCACACACCCCATCCCTGTCCATACCTGTGCATACCCTTCACCCCCAGCACACACTGCTCCTCTCAGGTCTGCACATTCCATGTCCTGGGGTTGGCCCCTCGACCCTCAGGCCTCAGTGGAAATGCTAGGTTGGGGGCATCTCTATGTTGGAGGGAGCCCTGTCAAAGGGGAGGGCAAGTCTGAGAGATGGGACGGCCTGACACGACTCCCCTTCCTCTTTCTCCTCTGCACAGAGAAGAACCGAAGTTATGTCATCTCCTCCTTCACAGAGCTCAAGGCTTATGACCTGCTCTCCAAGGCCTCCGTGCAGTTTGTGGAGTATCCTTGAGACCTCAGTAGCCAGGGTCCCTGGTTGGGGTGGTGGGAAGGGGAAGGCCTGGACAAGCAGGGGCTGCTGGGGTTCCTCCCAGCGCAGGCGGCCTCGTGGCTCCTATACTCTGCGGCAGCTACAACAAGCGGCAGATGAGCCGCATCTACCCCAAGGGCACCCGCATGGACTCCTCCAACTATATGCCCCAGATGTTCTGGAATGCCGGTTGCCAGATGGTTGCTCTCAACTTCCAGACAATGGGTGAGGGCACACTCAGGCCCTTAATAACTTCCCCCTGCCCCTCCCACCTGCACCCTATCGATGGGGAGGGGGGGCTTTGCAACAGACTGGAGTGTCCTGATGTTCGTTGAGGCTCTGGGTGCACATGCAGGTGTGTGTGTTTAGGGATCTGAGTGCAACAGCTCATACCTATGTGACTGCACATATATAAGTGTGCATGTGATGATGTCAGTGCTGGCATGGGTTTTGGCTGCTCTGCCCAAGTGGGTCTGTGGGAACACCTGCTCCACTGGCCTCAGCTCCCACCATGAGCTTGAAAGCTGGTCGTGGCTTTACTCCTGCTGACTCCAGGTTGTGGGCCCGTCCTGAGAGATGAGACCCTAAGGAACCAAGGCTGGGCCATGAAAAACCCTCATTCTCATGGTCTGCCCAGCCTCCCTATTCACGAGATGGGAAAGGCTGGGAAATGGGGAGAGAGAGGCTGTGTGCAGACCCAGAGCCGAGCAGCCCTCTCTGAGTGTCTTTGTCCTTCCAGACCTGCCCATGCAGCAGAACATGGCGCTCTTCGAATTCAATGGGCAGAGTGGTTACCTCCTCAAGCATGAGTTCATGCGTCGGCCGGACAAGCAGTTCAACCCCTTCTCAGTGGACCGCATTGACGTGGTGGTAGCCACCACCCTTTCCATTACGGCAAGGCCCTGAGGTGGACAAGTGGCCGGGGGGCTAGGGTCTTGAGGAGAAAGACACAGGAGACTCACTCTTCCATTCCCAACCCCCTCCCCTGATATCCTGAAAACTTCAGTCCCAACCAGTTCTTGCAGTAGCAAGTTGCCTTGGAAACTGCCTCCTCCTCAGCACTGGAGGCTGCCTCTGGGTCCCCATGGAAACCAAGGGGAAGGGCTGAGGCTGGGGTGGGGGAGGGGAGAAGAGTGGGCAGAGTGGGGCAGCAGGAGCCCCAGGCCCTGGGGGAGGGCCCTGTTCCTTCCTTGCTGGGAAGGGAAGGTGAAGTGGCCCACACCTGATCCCTGAATGCTGGAATCACCCTGGGCAGCAGAGCTGAACTGTCACCCTTAAGCCACACAGCCTCTACTCTGTGGCTAGAGTTGAGGAGGATCTTCACAGTACCCAAGAAGGGATGTTTCAGCTAGGGGAGCTGGGGAATGGCCTGGGTGAGGGAGCTGATGCTGGCCTCCCACGGGCCCCCCACCTCCAGGTGATCTCTGGGCAGTTCCTGTCAGAGCGCAGTGTGCGCACCTATGTGGAAGTGGAGCTGTTTGGCCTTCCTGGGGACACCAAGAGGCGCTATCGGACCAAGCTGTCACCCACTACCAACTCCATCAATCCTGTCTGGAAGGAGGAGCCCTTTGTCTTTGAGAAGGTGGGGGGCTGGGGCAGGGCAGGGGCTGGGATCTGTTCCTAGTTCTTGGTCTCTACTTGTAGAAGAGGAAATACCTTTCAAAGGGAGTTCTTTGAGCCTGCTCCTCTCCCCACCCCTGTCTGCCCTCCTGAGGTTCTAGAGTACAAAGTTTATAGAAATTTACTTTGTGGGCAGGTTTTGTGTGTGTGCACATGTGTGTATGTATATGAGTGTTCATGTTAGGCTTAGAGACAGAAATGTGAACTTCCAGACCAAGGTACAGGGTCCAAAGGAGTTACGAGGGTCTTTTGCCCCCATTGGATACTTGTTGGCAAAGCTGCCAAGGGCTGTCTGCAACAAAACCCTTGGAGCCCTGAGCTGCATATCCAGCCCTTCTGTCTTGTGTGGAGCAGCCATGGCATGAGCTGTGAGGATGTCTATGTGCATGGCTTAAGAGTGTGCCCTCTGTCCTCACCCAATCCAGTAACAACTGTCATGTTCTCAGGCCAACTCTAGACTTCTGAGTGAGGGATGGGGGCAGCTTGGCCACCCTCTCCTGTCTGCAGCTTGTCCCATCCTGAACTCTCCCCAGATCTTAATGCCTGAGCTGGCTTCCCTCAGGGTGGCTGTGATGGAGGAAGGCAACAAGTTTCTTGGACATCGCATCATCCCCATCAATGCCCTGAATTCTGGTAAGGATGGGGGCCCTTCTTTGCTGTTCCCAATGGGTCTGAGGCCAAGGCCAGCATCAGAATCCTATCCAGAGGGTGGGGCAGCTTCAGGGAGGTGGCCTTCTCCTGTTAACAGCCCAAAAAAGCGGGCTAGGAATAGTACCTCTCCAGGAAACTGACGGAGGTGGGGATTCTGCCCACTTAACAGAATGTCTGTAATTTTCTGAAACTACAGTTTCCCAAGTAGCTGACATTTATTGGGCACTTAAAATGCTTTAAGGGCTTATAACACATTCTCATTTCATCCTAACAATAACCACATGAGGTAGACACTATTATCCCCATGTCACAGGTGAGGAAAGTCTCAGAGACTTAAAGTCTACTGCCCAAGATTACACAGCCAGGAACCAGACTAAAGCCAGAAGTCTTGAGTGCTGGGCTGCTCATGAGCAGTGCTGGGCAGCAGTGGGCTCTGGCTCACTGCCCATCCTGTCATGTCCCACAGGGTACCACCATCTGTGCCTGCACAGTGAGAGCAACATGCCCCTCACCATGCCTGCGCTCTTTGTCTTCCTAGAGATGAAGGACTATGTACCTGACACCTGGGCAGGTAGGAGGCCCATGGAATGCTGGGAGCCCCAGACTGTCCATTCTCCCTCCTCTCTCCTCAAGCCAGCCTCCAGAGTCAGGCAGGATAGGGTATCCTGGGGTAGGTGAGGATGGGGGAGGCTTCCAGGTACATCTCCTTACCAGGCCCATGATGTCCCTGTGCACCCAGATCTCACCGTGGCCCTCGCCAATCCCATCAAGTTCTTCAATGCCCATGATAAGAAGTCTGTGAAGCTCAAGGAAGCCATGAGAGGCCTGCCTGAGGTCTGTGTTGCCAGGTCCACTGCCAGGGACCCCACAAGCTATGCCCTCTCTGTGGGAAGATGAGGAAGGGGGTAGAGTCCCAGGCTCAGGGAGAGAGGCTGTTGGAGCCACCTTCCTGACATGCTCTCCCAACGCAGAATCCCTTTCCTCTCGGAAGCCCAGTTGCCCACCAGGTCAATGAGGCATCAGCCCCAACAAGCAACGGGTCAGCAGGTATGCACTGCTGGGTCTTCCCACATACTGAAAGGGTCTCAACCTCTCCCCTATACCCTTAGGCACATCTCAGCCTGGGGTCAGCTC